TAATGATTCTGCTACATTTGAAGATATGTTAGGTTGGTTCAAAAATCTTTCACCAATTTTCCTCAGATCCAGAATTTGTTAGTCTTGAATAGAAATTTTCAAGTTAATAACCGCCCAAGTCTACTCTTCCCAGCTACAAAAATTGGCAAACGCAATTTGCTTGAAGCACATGAAAACTGGCCGCGTTGTTCATTAAGTAACATTGCCCGACCTAATGTGGCTAAGCTTACTCGCCAGAAAATCACCGAACTTGGTTGGGAAGTTCCACGGCTGCTTGTTCTCCTAGCTTGGCTCTGTCTGATAATCATTTGTTTCGAGGACTGACGTTGCATGTACGAGGGAAGACCTTCGCTGCAGACCGAACGGCAAAAGGATTCGCTTCTTCGACTCGCAACCGAGTTCTGGACTTCCGAATCTGAAATTGTGATGAAGCATTGCTCGACAATGAATTTTAATATATAACAAATATAAATGATTCTACCGCATTATATATGAAAAACAGAGGTAGGGAAAGGCGACTTAAAGAGTTTCGGAAAGTGCAGGAAAAAACTACGATTGAATGTCGATCGAATTTTGGGATGGAACTACTTTTTGGTCTCCAAGGTCAGTGAACTCCAACAGAACATCTTTTCTGAATCTTTCGCCATACATCCCACACTCAACTTAGAACACAAGTATCTTTCTTTTTATCCTGTATTTACCCCCTCTTGGAACTCCTTTTATGCTTTTTTTTTCTCATTTTACGCATTTTCCAAAGAAGTTCCTCGATTACAATTCCATTTCAGCTTTGAAACATATCGTTGCTTGTTATATGCGCACATATTTCATAGGTTGAAGTAATAATTTTCAAAAGGCGGATGACATAAACTGCTTAGTTCTACCAAACCCCGGGATATGTGCATTCAGCCAGAGCTAGCCGAATATTACTATCTAAATGAGCACTTTCCCCCTTTGTCACCAACATATGTGACATCGTGTCACCCGCAGTTCTAGAAGAGCGCTAACGAAGTATTTCGAATCTATTAGCACTGGTCCACTCTGGTAGTGTTTTCACATAGAAGTAGTTTTCCTTAGCATAGTCTTTTTAAACCATAATAAAATTACGGAGAAGAAACACGTCAAACTTTTCTTTGAGTCACCTCTTCTTCCCCTGCTACATAGCACCTTAATACGTCGACAATTTAGGGCGCCATTCAGTAGATATTGAACCTCATATATTTACTTACTTAGATACTTACAAGGGAAGGATACCTGGTCGAAGTGACGATTCGAGAAGCGATGTAAACTTCAGGATCAGACGCTGATTCTAAATCTGCCTTCCGGATTTGCAAAGCGTTTCTATGGAAAAAGTTATAATATATGGAAATTTCATGCGATAACACCACCTCTATCAAAGTGAACCACTGTTTTGTGAATGGAGCGGCAGATAGAGTAGTAATAAGTGTAAAATTTTTAATGCAGATTAGGTTCGATTCTTCTCAACCAACTCCATTGCATTTTCTTAAGAATAGTTTTGTGCGTCAATGAATGTTGTTTATGGATTTCCATTTAAATGATGGTTTTATATAAAATTCGA